TTTTTTTTTTCTTTCCAGAGATGGTGCGCGGCTCAAGAACATCCGAAGACACAAAGCCGGAGGGTTGAGAGGGGTTTATCCCGGAGAGAATCCCCGTAGCGGTCCACAAAAAAACTCGAAAATTTTCCAAAGTTACAACCAACGAGGGGCGGACGGCGAAAACCAACAAACAAAAAAAATCCAACTTCAAAAAAAAACACCCATGGCCAACCTCCCCCTTTTTCTTCTTTTCCCGACTGTCTGTATGTCAAATCTGTCAATCTCTTTCTGTCTGTCTGTCTGTCTGTCTGTCTGTCTGTCTGTCTGTCTGTCTGTCTGTCTGTCTGTCTGTCTGTCTGTCTGTCTGTCTGTCTCTGTCTCTCTGTCTCTCTGTCTCTCTGCCTCTCTCTCTCTCTCTCTCTCTCTCTCTCTCTCTCTCTCTCTCTCTCTCAATCTCTCTCTTTTTGTGTCCAAGTGTGTCTCTGTCTCTCTATATGTTCCCCACACTCCCTGCTTCCACCTGTTTCTCTCTTTCTTTCTTCCTTCCTTTCTTTTTTTCTTTCTTTCTTTCTTTCTTTCTTTCTTTCTTTCTTTCTTTCTTTCTTTCTTTCTTTTTTTCTTTCTTTCTTTTTTTTTTCTTTCTCCCTACCCATCTTTTATTCCCATGTTCTCTTCTTCGCCATATGCTATCCACGTACCCACGTCCGGTCCCCTTTTGCACTTACCTTTGGTGGGCAGAGGGATCACCCCGTTAGTGGTAGTTATTATTCATTTTAATGCCCATCTCGAAAAGATTTGTACACGAAGATGGCGGCGTACGGAATTTTTAGCCTCTTAAAAGTGGCAAAAGAGGGGGCTGGCTTTTAGGAGATGGACAGGCAAAGATCTTATAGATAACCTTTAGATTAATGACTTCCCAATGTTTTGTAGGAATGAGAATAGATAATATTTTGTAATTTTGAAATTTTCAGTGCAAGGCTTGAATTCAAGACTTCAATATTTATAGCCTGGTCTACTGCTGCTTCAGGAAAGATTCCCTTCTTTGACACAAAAGCCACTCCTTGATGGGAAGCCAATTTTTCCCCTATTATCGCATGTCAAGGGAGACCTTGGATCTGAGACACCTACTAGAGATGAAGTGAGCTGCAAGGTGGCAGGTCAACGGGCCAGTAAGAGGATTAGCTATGTTCAAAGGAATTAAAGGAAGGACTTCTCTGTCCGCGGCACTGTGGATCCTATCACAGACTGACGCGGCTTTTGCAGTATAATAATTAGGGTTTCAGGGGAGAAATGGGGAGAACGGCATATATGTTGAAAGGAATACTTATAAATAACAACTGAAGACCGGCTGAAGGGTTTAAGTGAATCATTTAAAGAGAGAAGGAGGGGAGTGTGTGTGTGTGTGTGTGTGTGTGTGTGTGTGTGTGTGTGTGTGTGTGTGAAAGAGAGAGAGAGACAGATAGAGAGAGACAGAGAGACACAGAGAGAGAGAGAGAGAGAGAGAGAGAGAGAGACAGACAGACAGACAGACAGACAGACAGACAGACAGACAGACTGAGAGAAGAACATGAGGATTTTGAACAAAGAGAGAGAAGAACACGAGGATTTTGAAGAAAGACTGATATGGCTTTTCAACTTCTTGTTGACATATACAGCCAAAACCATAATAATAATAATAATAATAATAATAATAATAATAATAATAATAATAATAATAATAATAATAATAATAATAATAATAATAATACAAAGTAATAAAAATAATAATAATTTAATATATATATATATAATTATAATAATAAGAATAATAATAATACTGTTATTTGTTGTAGATGTCCCCTCCTTTCCCTATTACATGTATAATCATTTAATACTTACGTAATTAAACTTGAGGTCCTCGTGTAGATAGTCAATACCTGTAAAACAATTAATACAGGTAAGAACATACTCATCCGAAAACAAACAAAAAAGGTGGGTATTATTTTATTTCTTGCTTTTGCTTTATCTATATCGCTATTTCGCTTTCTCTCTCTCTCTCTCTCTCTCTCTCTCTCTCTCTCTCTCTCTCTCTCTCTCTCTCCCTGTTTCTGGCTTTCTCCCCCCCCCTCTCTCTCGGTCATTGTCTCCCTGTTTCTGTCTTTCTCTTTCGCTCAAAGCAAGAAAAAAACCTCTTTCACTCCATCACTTTCGGTCACGGTCTTACCTTTTCTTCTTTCTCACTATTTTTGCCCCTCTTTCAATCTTGGTCCATTCAAATCATTCATTTTTAAAGCTGATAAATCTTTAATCAGAAATCACTCAATAACAATATATCATAAAGGTCAGGGCGCTCTGCTGTGCTGTACTCCCTCGATATATCATGTAACATTTTCCAATTACTATTGTTTCAATTGTTGTTATGTCCCAATATGGTTGATAAAACGCCAAGGCTCCATTAACAACAGCTCACTTGATAACGAGACATTTATATTCAAATAATATGCATTTTGAAAAATCTCTTGAAAAAAATACAGCACCAACTAATATTTCTACCCACGCGTTTGATGTGATTGAGTGATGATCTTTGCAAAATGCTTTAAGTTTGGAATTCGTTACAAGATGCTAAAGCTCCTTTAACGTGGCGTAAAAACAGTCGTTGGGTAGTGTGTGTTTCAAAAGCAATAAGGCGTTTTCACAGTTATAGCATAACTGAAATCAGTCTGAACTATATCCGTTTGACTACATTTTCAACATGGTGCACTATATAGTATTCCAAGCCTCTTATAGACCTACGGACTTTAGGACAATCCATACACCATAAAGTACGCTGAACTGTCTTTTTAGGAGCACATAGAAAAATGCCTGTATATACACATAAACATATACATACATTTACATTACGGCTTACAGCCACATCGACTCACATATTCACGAAATGAAAGGGAGAAAGAGAATGAGAGATAGAGTAACAGAAAGAGAGTCATGGATACCTAGATAGGTTAGGTAGACATACATACACACGCATGACACAGAAAGAGAGAGAGAGAGAGAGAGAGAGAGAGAGAGAGAGAGAGAGAGAGAGAGAGAGAGAGAGAGAGAGAGAGAGAGAGAGAGAGAGAGAGAG